TATATATCATATACATATATGATAAATCAAAACCCCTTTGGGCAAAGAGAACTCTAAGGAAAAAGAAAAAAAAGAAAAAGCTGACTACTTAACCTATCTCGATCGGCAAAAATCCAAGCTGTGAGGAAACAAGCACTCTCCTACATTGTTAGTGGAAATGTAAAAATGGTATAATCCCTATAGAAGGGAGTGTAGTAATAGCTAGAAAAAGCATACACCTTTAACCCAGAGATCCACTTTTCATGGAATCTAACCCAAAGATTTCCAGCAAAAATAGAAAATAAAATGTCATATGTATAGGATGATACTGTGCCTCTATCGATAATAGCAAAAGACTAGAAACAATCTAAAAGTACACCAATGGCTATAAAAAGAATTGAAGAAGATCTCTATACACTGATAGGAGCAATCTCTAAAATACATTGTTCAGTGAAAAAAAGCAAGGTACAGAATAGTATATGCAATATGGTATCTTTTCTGTAATAGCTGTATGGGGGGATATACACACATATACATATATATTTATGTGTATGTATTTGCTTATATACATGTTACGTATATACATATATATACCTGTATGTATGTATTTGCTTATCTTGGCAAAATGAAACACTGGAAAGACAGACATCTCTGAATGTATCTTGTTTATAATTCTGACTGTGAAAATATGTTTACATATTCAAAAATAGTAGCAAATAAAAATATTACTATGAATTGAACACAAAATAAAACAACTTAATCTGATTATATATCACTTTGATAATGATGAGAGAAAATAATTATTTCAAGGGACCTCAGAAAACAACATCTTTTCTTTATTTGTTCTAAGGACAAATAAAGCAGCAAAGAAATCCTAAATTGCATTCGATAAACTTACAGTTAGTAGTTATCTGGTGTTATCTGGAAACCATATGTATTGCAGGATAATGAAAGTAAGTTACTGCCTGTAGGAGGCAAGATTTTCGGCATATATGAATGATACTCAAGTATAAAACCAAAGAAGTCAAAACCATGTAATGTTAAATTTTAATTAGAAATATTAACATAAACTCATGATTTTTTTTCTTCTCAGAAGAATGTAATTCCTGGCTCTGTCCACTGTAAAGGCTTAGAAGCAACATCCCAGCAGAAATGGATGTACCTAGCAATCAGATCTTTTCTTTTTTTAAAATTTACTTTGAGAGAGACAGAGAGAGGGTGAGCGGGGGAGGGGCCGAGAGAGAGCCCCTGAGAGAGGGGGAGAAACCAAGCAAGTTTCAAGTGGTCAGTGGGCAGAGCCCAACATGGGGCCAAACCCACAAAACCGCGAGATCATGACCTGAGCCGAAACCAAGAGTCAGACATTTAACCGACCGAGCCACCCAGGCTCCCTTTAGATCTTGGTTTTTAAATACCATTCCCACTGAAAGGAATGAAGGCCAGCTGGGCTTGAGGACTGACTAGTGAACCAGGTATCCTTTCAGGAGGAAACAGCTGATTCCAAGTCTGGGACAGGAAACACACAAGAGGGGTCTGGGACATCTTGATGTTGCCAGTAAGTGAGGAAACTACCAAAGACTAATAATAAAAGGACACAGAAGCCAGTTTACACAGGCTCTAGTAGGCCAAAGAAAGAGCAACTGACTACGAAAATGGTAATAAATGTAACTGATTAAAACTCAAAAGGGAAGAAAAGAAAACCTCACTGGATGCCCTGGAAGTAACTTGGACACCCAATATCTCACTCTGAAAATTAAAATAATTAAATACGGACACTGCTCTTCCTGTATGTTCTATATTTCAAGGTTACTAAATAACCTTAGAATGAGGGTTAAGTTCATCTTGGTAGAGACGTTTTATCTAATCAAACGTAGAAGTAATAATGGAACTAGAAAATCACCATTTTGCATTTGCTACCGAAACGTTTACTTCAGGCTAAGATTATGACAATCAACGGGTAAAACCCCCAGATAAAAGGCTGGCAGAGAATTTTACAACTGGAGGGACCAGGCTGTCATTACTTGAATCCACCGATCATCATAGCATCACTAAAGACAGGAGAGTCAGACACTCTGTGTCTCGATAGGACTTCACAGTACCACATAAGCAGTACCCTCGCCAAAAAAGCTGAGCCAGATCTAGGCAAGCACTGAGTGCTAACTTCCATTTATCGAAATAATCAAGAAAGAGGAACAAACTTAATGACCGGTTTCCTGACTCTCGGCCAGTGAATAAATCTTTCCACTATACTACTCCTTATGTCTCTGAGTCTGTGAACCAAATAAAAGCTACAATTTTCATTCCAGTTTTCAAAAAGCACCTGTCTCTCTCTATCCAAAGCATTCAGAAATGCTCCTAATTTAAAATCTGCCAGCAACTCTTAAGAATCCTGCAATATCAAGTATAAATAATAGCGCTCCTGTGTCTGAAAGACTGCATGCAAACTTTATTTAAATGGCTGGGTAACAGCAGAATTGAAAAGAATCTCGTGAATAAATCCTCTGGTAAGGTGAATGGCCTAAGTTCCAAATTCTGTCCTTCAGATGTTTGCTTTCGGCAGCCTGCCCTTGCCAAGTGTTAAAACGGCTGTCGTTTTCTGAGGAAAAGTCAAGGCAACCTCTAGCTGCCTGATGGACAACACTGATGTGAAAGGTTCAGGGCATAGTCACCTCAATGACTGAGCGCTGGAGAATACGTCTTCCTCCTCAAGGCCAATGATACTTGAGGTACCAGATGGTTTCATTTTTCAACTGTGGTCCGAAGAGAGGGTTGAGCTGGGCCAGAATTGCAATCAGCCAACTAAAAGAATAATGGGGGAGGAAAAAAACAACAGAAAGTGGTGAACTCATGTGGGAACAGGACCATCTTCAATTAGGATGGAACGAGTGCTTTAGTAAAATTTAGCAGTGAGGTTTCACCATAGTCTGCTCTGTCTTTTCTTCTCTCATTACCTTCATTCCAAGTATCCAAGATCTCCTGCATTCATAGGAAACCTTTAACCCAGAGTATTTTTACCTAATCTCAATTTAGCATCATCACAACTTCCAGGCTCAGGAAGAATGGGTGTTACTTTATCCATTCTCCAAATGTTAAGACCCACAACTGATATGACACACCCACTTTTACTGGCACAGCCAAGGTTAAATTTCAGCCCCCCATCTTCCAATTAGACTGTAACACTTGAGCTCCCCTTCTCTAATCACCATCACCACTAAAATACGTAACACGTCTTTTGGGCCCCAGTGGAGCTGAACCAAATGGGAATTTAATTCCCCCAGCTTACTTGAGAATCTAAGCAACAAGGCATTCCTCTGTACTATACGGACTAATTATGGAGGAAGTACAGTGATGCTACATTACCTCAGGGTTAGAAGCGAAAAAATAGCACCTAAATTGTCTCTAAACTTTTGTTCTACTGCTCCCAAAATTCTGAATAAATGGTTTTGTGTCTGATAGAGGAATACACATAATCCAGCAAAGTTTCAGAATCACTGAGCTAAGACTAACGCAAAAACAACAAGAAAGATAATACACAAATGTCTGGCCGTTCAAACCATTCCATGTTTTACTTATTAAACAAATATTTAATGAGCACCTACTAGGTTCCAGGCCCCACGGATACAGAGGAGAAAATGAAATGTCACCACCCTCACGAAGCTTACCTAATATAGTATCAGGAAGGAAAGAAAGTGGGACGAAGGAATAGGGAATGATGGAGGTAGTGAGGGACGACCTCTCCAAGGAGGTAACATTTGAGCAGAATACACATTGCCTTTTGTTCCTATTTAATATATATGAAGTGATTGGAGACTCTCATTTTATGGGGCAAGGGTATGGTGAACAAGCCCAGCCTCCATGGACTGATCTGGGAGAGTGGATTTTAGTAACATGATCTGACGCAGCGATCCTCTCTGCGTGGAATAGAAGGAACCACTTTGCAAGGAAAAGGAGAGTTACTGCTACAGGAGTCTCCTTCTAAAATTTTAGCACTTTAAATTCCCCTATTATAAGAGGGGAACCAGCCAAACCCAACCGGACTGTCAGCTGGTTGCACCTTTTTTCTTCCACTTGCTGTCGTTTTTAGAACTCTGCCAGCCAACGGCTCAAAAAGCCGATTCTGATCACCAGCGACTAGACTGCCACAGAATCTGCCAGCACCACACCAGAAGCGTGCACCTACGGAAACAAACATACCTGCCCGCCCTCCTACCCTGCCCCACCCCATGCAAGGTGGTTTTGTGACAGGAAACATGATACTTGAGGAAATGGGGCCAAAACAGATACCCTAAGCTGACTCACTTTATAAACAAAAAGTTAATTCAGGTGAGATTCTCTGATCTGTCCTTAAAATGAGAGTGTTAAACACAAAAAATGCCAAGGCTTGTAGCTGAGATCACATCTACCTGACACTGTGAAAAAAAAGGAAGAAGACAGCACAAGCAGACACACTGAAGAGCTCTGTGCCTGCAGTGAACACTAATTGGTGCAGAGCTAAGAGTCATGGAAAATTCCACAGACCCAGGACTTCCCCAATCCCAGCAGGCAAGAGAGGCTGACCGTAAAAACAGTCGTTCATCCTTTCGTAAGAGACTGAAATAACTGGCCAGTGCTTACAAGTACTAGATAAAAAAATATGCTAGAACCCTATGCTAGTCTGTCTCCTTTCTTCATCAAAAATGTATAGAATGAAATGAAAGCACCATCTCCCAGCACTTTGTATGATGTCGTATAGCAGTGCCTCTCGATCCTGGCCGCACATTATAATCACCCAGGGAGCTTTAAAAGATACTGACGCTATACTTCACATATAATCTTTCTTTTAATTCTCCCACGATACAGTTAAGGAAACTGAGGCAGAGAGAGGCTAACTGGTTTGCCTAGGGTCACAAATCTAATTAGGTGGTAGCAGCTCCTGAACCCAGAAATCAGGTTAGACTAATGTTCTAACTACGTTTTGTAGATAACTACAAGAGTTATCTCTGGAAATCTATTTTAACAGATAACATTTCAGAAGGCATCTACTTAACTAAATTTAATCTATCTGGAGTTAAGGAAACAAAGAATCCATCTGCCGATTATTGATGAAGTCTATCACAAAAGCTTTTGTTACCTGAGGTAAAGCAGAAATATCTCAAGTCAAAAACAAAGTCCACTTTGCCTGCTCAGATCAGGATTCAGAAACTTTTTAAAATCTAATCTTACATACTATTCTTAATGTTTCAAATCCAGCAAAACATCTCATTACACAAACAAAACAAAACAAAAAACACCAAACACACAAAAAAAGAAAGAAAACAAACCAAAAAAAAACCCCAACAAACCACAGTTCAAGAAAATTCCTTGGGAAAAAGCCCAGGTCAGTTCACTTGAAATTTCATGGAGGAATTTTCCCCCCTCCAACCAGCTGAGCTCTGTGCCTGCCCTTCTGACTACCGCCTGACTTAAAATTTCCCTTTAAAGCTGATAAACACGTTGGAAAACTGGAAAGAGAAAAAAATCCACTCTGAATTCATGGAAGTGGGTGGAGGAAGAGATCATATTCCAATGAATCTATTACTTCATGTGTCCAAGAAAAGAGAACTAAGTGTACCCTTCACATTTGCCCAAATTGTTCCACATGTCTCCATAACCTGAAGGCCAGCCTAATAACTAACCATCTGAAATTATTCAAACTACTGAGGCAGCTATGGTGTGGTAACATATTTCAGAGAACTGCAGGGCTGGAATGGCCCAGAGGTCAAGTCCATGTTCCTCATTTTAATGATGAAGAAACTAAGTGCCAGGGAGCTCGATACCACACTGAATCAGTGACAGAGTTGGAAGAGGAACCCACACCTCCTGAGTCCCACTCTACCAGGCTGCTTCCATAGCTTATTAAGGACAAAACAAACCAAGCAGTCCAGGAGCTCCCAACTAATTCCACAACCAGTTACCAAGACCATGCTCCATGTCAGGCTGTGAGGACACAAAGAGGAACTGGTTAAGGGGCCAACCCCCAAGGGGCTCATGAGCTTGTGAGACAAAACAAGGTTAGCAGTAGAGTGGGCTTTAAATAACATGCAGAGAATTTCATTCTACAAACACTCCCTGCTCACTTATCATGAGCTCAGGTCTTGGTTATTAGAATTCTCCAAGCACAAAATATACCCTCCACACAGAAAAGACTATAGCCAGCTCTCTCAAATCTTGTTTTGTTTTTTTTTGTTCCACGCTCAGATACGAGAACAGGGAACAAAAGGATGATTACTTCCCTGTGGCGCACAGATTAAGCGAATAACTGCTTGGCTTCCCTGTTGGAATGGGTAAGTCCAGCTAGGACTACTCTTCTGATCCACTGTCCCTCCAGTGAGAGCCATAATAGGAGTGACCTCTATTAGTGGGTTCATGAAGAAACAGCAGAGATGCAGGAGAGCGCCTGCCTTATC